CACCTGACATTTTTCCATCCACTACCTGCATTGGCTAACATTGCCCGCCGTAGTAACCTGTTTGGGACATGCGTAACATATGTCCCACTCAGGGTAATCCATTGAGGTGGACGACTTGCTCCAGTGAACGACTGCTGTTATCTAAAACTCTACGCCTAACCTCAGTATTGCTCGTCCTTGTTTCCTCCCACACAGCCTAGAAGATTCGTTAACTCCAAAATGAAAACTGAATCCCCATTCTGAAAGCCGATGGGGACAGACCGCCCTAGCTGAAGCCCTATCTATACCTTTTGAGAGCATTTGCTTCCCGGGCAACCTTCATTTCAGTTGGAGGAGTAATATCTACTGGCAGTATTTGCCCAGTTGAAGCAAGCGTTGCGAGGTCTTGCTTCAGTGAGGGCCAGCTGAACTGAGCCCCGAAATGTTCTACCCATCGTTCAAGACATCGTAGCTGAATAAAATCGGTGTTCCATTAGACTCCTTGATTAGTTCACCTACACCTACCTTTACTCCTAATTAAACAAAAGCATTACGACTCTTGTCGATACCCGCAGTCCTCTCCATCTCCCTACACTTCCCTATCTACCACTTCTCGCGGTCATTCCCCAGGCTCTTGATGACCTGGCGTTTGAGGGTTTTTTGCGCTTTCTTTCGTATTTGAGATCAGAAGGAATGGCCAACGTCCGACAGAGCAGCCGATGTCGAGAAGATCTATCCTCTTTGCTTCAATGTTGCGCCGAAATCCGCGTTTGTTTCAATCGACATTTGGATCTCTTCCTTGATTAGCATCTGACGTTTACCGGGTCCTTCGGCTGATGGTTGAGCTGAAAGGCGATCAAAGAGTTCCGCTTCGCAGTCCGATTTGCAACCATTACTGACATTGAGTTGTGGGCATCCGTTTTCAATGGCTTTTCTGCGGTTGTTTACTAGGCTTTGGGTGAATCTGGCTCGTAATAGAGGATGATCCGTGTCCACAGGTGTTGGTCAGTGGGATCGGCAGTTTCTAAGGGACCCTCACGATGGCGATGTGGTCGATTTGAGTCCATCGCTGGCGGTGTCGTTTCTTGTGCGAGAAGTTGGTGCTTGACATAAACAGTTTCAGTTTTTACAACCATTAACCATGCACTTTTGTGCGCCGGTTAATGGTTGTACAAACCAGAAACAGTCAGTATTCAGTGCGGATTTGGAGTATTATGTTGGTAATGTATTTCACACTTGTCTGAGGACAGACTGTGTGCCAAACAGATCATGGTATGGTAATCTTTATAAAATAGAACATGTTCCATGATTGGCTTGTGGGCTGAGTACTGCCAGGTTGCCCAGGCCAAGGCAGGTGAATTTTCTTGAGGAATCCACAACCGGAGCCTTCGGCTAGCCAAAGCCTGACCCGCAAGGCAGCGGGGCGGTGTGTGAAATTCGCAATCCGTTGGGCCGGCCGGTGTCCGGTTCATCGGATCATGCGTTCTTCGGACGGGGTCAGACGTCCAAGGTGCCCAATCGAGCCGGTGACCACTACCACAACCGAAAGGGTGTGGGTGTGGTTCGTACGCCTACTCATGGTTGGTTTGGAATCAGGAATTGTGGCCAACTCCCCTAGGTGAACTACCAGTGGTCCACCAACCCGGCTATAGCCCCGGATATCGGCTTTTCGTCCTCTCACTTTGGTGGGAAAACACCTCCGCCACGAGAAGGCAGTGAGTAGGGCTTCCTCAGCAGAGGCTGTTTGAGACGCTTGGTCGTATGGGAGCATTTCGTGAGGTGCAAGGACAGGATGACCAACCACAACCCTAGACACCCACCCCCGACCATACTGAGGCTTTTGGAGGCGTTCTCCGTTGTCAGTCCGGTTAGCTGGGATTACCTGTAAACCACCAAGTAGCCTTTCTGATTTGTCCAGGAATGCCACTTCAGCATTGAGGTCCCTAGGGACTTCCACGATATCCGTTGACCGAACACTTTGGAGCATTTGAGAGAGGTCCTTTTAGAATTCATCCTTCATTTCTGGCTAGCTGCAATCATTGGATGCCTACACGGATACGACAACTAACCACCGAAGCACCGTTTTGTAGCTGTTGACCCATACCGAACCATCCAGACGTACAGCGCGCATTCAGCTAATAAAGAGATTTAATCGAGAAGTGAACGCTCAGCATTTACACTTTGCGCAACCCCAACACCAGCATCGCCGGGAGCTTCAGATGTCGAGTAGTCTGACACACGGAAAGTGGAGTGTAAGAATGAGTTCAGATCTGGATATCGCAAGAGGATGACTGAAGTGGTAACTTGTATACGTGTTTCGGAGAGGCAGCATACATCTAAATTGAAGTTTCAATGGTTCTAACTAAGGTAGGTTTTTGACCAATCCGATAGAGTGTGCGAACACGAAAGGCGGCTAAGTGAACAGGAGATTTTGCTTTCAATTCTGATAGTTTCTAGTTGATTGACCTTGTCAGTTGAATGCTGGGTGTCGCAAACAGGAGCGTCTCGTACGATTTTGGAATGGGAAAGAAAAGAGGGTTTCCATATGGGCACGACATACTTCGCGACAGCTCACTTCGATGAAGGAGCTTTCCAGGAACCCTAACCGAAGCCTTTGACTAAATAAAATCTGACCCGCATGGCAGTGGGGCGTAAATCCAATGCGGGAGTGTGACTGAACCGCCCAAGTGGGAGCTTCCAGATACCAACCACACAAGGTCTTTGGGTCTCAATTTAGTGTTGTTCGCTAGTGCGTTGATTATCAGTAAGCTGTTCAGGATTGTTACTTATTGTCATACACCCCAGGAGACAAGCGGAGCGCGGACAGGACAGCGCTTCCTTGGCTGGGGGTTGCCTAGCTTGGCAGGGCGATAGCTGTCCAGTGAAGTGCGAAAACTTCTGCCGTCGAGAGGAATCCCCCGCTCTTGCGTCCATCCAGCGGGTATTTATCGACCGGTAGATTGCTTTTGACCGCGCTTATTTGTTGGAGTGACCTCTCCAGGGGCGATAGTGGATAGTCCAAGGAAACCAGGAGATGCCCAAGCTTTGTGAGACCGATCTTTGTCTGGTCTCAATCCCCCGACCTTCTAGTCATGTTGGGATTTGCGGCTGAGGAGCCATCCAGTATAGCTCACAAGGTCAAGGAGACATGCAAGTCATAACACCACGTCAGAGTGCTGTCTGATCTTGATGGAGGATAACTTGCATATAGTCCGACCCCTGTGCCTGTATGGGCGACTGTAAAATGCCACAATCTTTTGACCACGTCACATGTGAAGTATGCTTATTCATGGTATGCGAGTGATTTGCCCACGTGAACTAAATGTAACAACTTCTTCTGTTAGTACTCACCTGTTTGATGGAGTTAACAAACTTTCGTCAAATGAGATACCCTAGCTGCATTGAAAATAAGATATGTTTTAAGAAACCACAGTGATATTTGTGGTAGTGATCAGTGCATGCAGGTGCTGCTACTTGCTACGAAGGCATCAAATTTTAGACGCTATCGCGGCTTATCTAAAAAGTCATTCCGAAGAGGTATGGGATTCCCCCGAACGTGATTTATCAGTGTGGTTCTAGTCGGTCAAGTAATATTATTCCCTGTCGTGATCTGTATGCTCGTTTTTTCACATTCCATTTTTTCCTTTACGATGTTTGTCCTTGTCCCGCGTTTTTCACTCAGACGGGTCTGGTATGATTGGCAAAATCATGTTTGTCGGAATTCAAGGGTAAGTCGACTCCATTCAGTACTGGTTTATCTTGATTTTCATCCCCTCCGCACCCCTGGTCCACATAGAAGCCAATTAGATTGCGATTGTAAACGTTGGAGGTAAGCTAATCGGTACACGGCTCACAAATGCACGCGTCAAATACTTCGTTATTCCAGGCTTTTAGCAGATATTTTAAACGATGCAGCTTTGTTCCTCGAGCTCTACTCTCCGTCCCTACCAGTGATATTCACACCGCTGGTTTGTGTAGCCGACGTTCTGAAGGTAGGTACGCATACTCTTTGTTCAAACACATCATCACACCAATCACCCGTCAATGTGAGAGTGGTTTCTATTTACATGATTAATTATCATTTATGCACACGCACGTGTTCTAATGGGTTGTGGCCAGTGTTCGTGAGACAAAACTCTTCGTTCAGTATTTTTTTTTCTTATTGCTTAGTTAATTTGACAACCGGTTTCCCCATTTTAAGGAAGCGCTCATTCACGCTCACTATCGTGGGTACGCGTGAGACTCACGATCTTTCATTTTGTAGTTCGAGCTGTCCCCAGTTCGTGGTGAGTACGAGCTACAGGCAGTTCCAAGCAAGGAGGAAACAGGTGTGCAGTACTTCCAAGGCTTTCAGCGAATCGCGATACGTTGAAAATCTTGAGCATATCCGGTAGCTAGCTCCATATATACATATAATTATAATAATAGTTATTATTATTCGGTTGGCAAATTATGTATCAACCGCGAACAAACCCTCTCGATCGACACTCAAACCCGATAGTAATGTTTAGTAAGCGAATTTCATCTTGACTAGTTCTTTATCAGGTCATTTGTGAGGAATAAAGTGACGGTCTATCAGTGCAAGCCATACCTTATCGACCTGGAATAGACGAGTCTGGTCATCCCGAGTGTAAAATTTTTGACACAGTGGTAACACACGTCTTCCATGCGATGGGTCAGGAGTTCAAAACCTGTGCGAGATGGTGGAGGTACACTACAGATGAGCTTTAGCGAGAGCGAAACGA